TACGTGTTAGCTAGAAAAAAAACAATTTTTTTTTGCTTTTTTGCTTACATCAAACCTGTAAATCTTAAAGATGTCACATTACCTGTCATTTTCATTGAGGGGTAATGTATATTGGATGCAAGGAAATTGACCCCCATGCCCATAGCCCAAGCCGAGTGAAATTCAATAGCTGACAAATGTGGCAAAACATTCATCCAGGCTGTCGGGAAGAGGATGGTGTCCACTTGGAAATCTGTCACCAGGGTAACAGCAGGGTTGTAGAAGAGAATATCGAAGCACGTGAAAATGCCAAACTTTCCAAAGGTGGTGTTGAAAGTCACGACCTCAGGCTCCTTGGGTGCATTGAATTGATCTTCACCCATGAAAAGGTTTTGCTGCAATAAATAAAGGGGGAAAAAAATCTCTTTTAAGAAGTTGTCCTGGACATCACTGTGTCTGAAAAAGTACAAGCTCACATAAGTCAGTGCCAATTTCATCTATGACCACTGTCTTCACAGGAAAGAGTGTTAGAGAATCAGAGAGGACCACAGCCAACAGGAGGCTTTGATTCAGTCTCCACATTTTGTAGATACGTACAAGGGAATCCTTATCTATTAAGACCTTCTTGAATCTTACAAGACATGGGCACGAAATAGTTAACATCTATTTGCCAAGAACACTTAACTATTTTCTGTGGGCAAAGAAGTTTCTTCGCTCCTTTCTCTTCAAAACCTAGACTCTTGCCAAGTCTATCTGGCAAGTAGTTTTTCATTCTAGCCTTGATCCATTGTCAGGGCACGTCTTTAAAAGGACAAAGTCCAAAAGTCAGCGTTATGTTTCAATGCAGTAGGCTCCTACCGATTGGCACACACTCAGCGACACCCTACTGTGCTCTTAAAGGCACAGGAATCCTCGTGAAGAGCTCACTGCACCTAATCATTACTTTCTGTGCTCTGTCTCCACTCTACTTCTAAATAATGCTTATTATTATCCACAATAATGGATTTTTTCCTTCTGGTCCACTTTATTTTGTTAAACACTCAGTAGTCAATTATTTGCAAATTAATTCTACCTTATGGTAGCGTGCCACAAGTTTTCCCTGAGCATCAAACACCACATCAGTGTTGTACTGGTAACGGCCATCAGGGGGGCACTCAGGGTCACTGGCATTGCATGGCTTCTTGTCCCCGATATTTGCCACGACGTAGATAGAGTTGTCCTTGGCCAGGCAGCTGAGCCTCTCTTGGACTGGAGTGTGGCCAAATCTGGTATGTGTTCATTGGAAGAGGGAAAAAAAAAAAAAATCAAAGCTTTTAACAAAATTCAGAATAATAGTTGCATGAACCTATTATGCGATATACACAAAAGTAAATTCTAAATAACATAAGTAGAAGGGAAAGATGAAAACAAAAGACTTCAGAGGAAGTACAAGCTTATCGGAATTTGGTTCTAGGAAACTGTTCTAGGATAAGATTCCAGGCCACGTATTTTTCTCTTCATAGCATTTATCATCATCTGTAATCATATATTCATTTATGCATTCATCTTATAATATGTGTCCCATCTTATAGGGCAAAGGCACACATCTCCTGTTCACTGGACCCATGGCTGACAGAAAAGAGGCATTAAGAAACATTTCAGGGCCAGTCCAGTGGTGCAGAGGTTAAGTTCACACACTCCGCTTCGGCAGCCCAGGGTTTGCCAGTTCAGACGTGGGTGCGGACCTCCACATCGCTTAAAAAGCCATGCTGTGGCAGGCTTATAAAATAAAATATATAAAATAGAGGAAGGTGGGCACAGATGTTAGCTCAGGGCCAATCTTCCTCAGCAAAAAAGAAAAAGACAGAGAGAGAGAGGAGGATTGGCAATGGATGTCAGCTCAGGGCTAATCTTCCTCAAAAAAGAAATATTTCAAATGAAAGAACAATTTGGAAATAGGAGTATTCTGAGAAGATGGCAGAGTAGAAAGCACCAGGAATCCATCCCTCCACCTAGATAACAATTGCACGGCAGAATGTGTCTGGTGTAACTATTTTGGAACTCTGGGGTCTATTCTAAGGCTTGCAACTTCCAGAAGAAGGCTTGGAAGGTCAATTGCAGTTAATTTCAGTCAATTTCAGCTCTTGGCTCAGCAGTGGCTACCATGCCCACTTCTCTCCACCCTCTAGCCAGTGGCAGGCAGCCATGCAGGTGTTCCTGGAGCACCTTGCAGGCAGCCTATGGGAGCAGGGTGGGCAATATTTCTGTCCTCCAGTTAACGTTTTGCATTTGCATTCTGCGTTTGCGTTCTGCATTCTGATCGCTGATAACCGCTTCTGATCCTGGAAGTGCAGACACTGGGGCAGGCAATCATTGTTTTTTTAATTTATTGAACTAATGATTGACTCTTTAATCTGCCGGCCAGATGACCTTGATCACAGGTGCAGCCAGTCACTGTATTAAAGGATGCCCTCTATACAAGGACTCCTACACTCTCACATAGTGGAGTTCCCGGTACATAAGAAAGAGTCCACATTAAAAGGTGAATAATAAATTCATCTTTGAATTAGGTTATTGGACATAGCTTGTCTCTCAAGAAATCTACGAGCTTTCTTCTATGAGGCAATGGAAACTTCTGCGCCAAATTGTTCCTCTCTTAACCTCCCAGGAACTCTCAGATGTCTACTGCATGTCCAGTTGTAACGATCAGCCCACTACCACAGTGCTTTGTAACAACTACTTTCTCTTCTTCATTCATGTGGCTTCTAGTTTTTACATCTAAACTATCTTACTTTTTAATTATATAAGATGTAATAAGAAATCTCAAATCCTTCTAGAAGTATGTGAAGTATAAATGCTAAATAAATAAATTTTTTGTAAAAAGAGAAACGATGAGGGCCTTGTTCCTATAACATCCAGGGTAAGTGGTGATGTGAGCCAAAAAAAGATTGGCGACTGTGAGAAAAAAGAGCATTTGACTCAGTGGATATTTCAAACATACTCAACAAGAAGTGATATCTGACTGTATGTGAGGGGTAAAGGAGATTGACTCCTCTCTGTCCTTCCCATCCGACGTCCAATCTTTCAGCAAGATCTGTCTTACCTACCTTCCGACTTTATTCAGACTCTGGTCATTTCTCAATACCCAGACTTCTACCGCCTCAGTCCAAGACTATCATCTCTCTGCCTAGATCACTATAACAGCTTTTTAAGTGTCCCCTGCTTCTTTATTGACTGCTTGTGGAGTCTGTTCTCTGCATAGCCACCAGAGTGATCCTTACACTAAAACTGAAGTCACAGCACTTCACTTCTTGCTCAAAACTCTCCAATGGCTACCTCCTCACTCAAGTAACAAAGTCGTTATTATGGCGCATGGAGCCTTATGCACTCAGTCCCCTCCCACTTATCTGCCTCCATCTCCCAATTTTCTCCCCCTCCCTCACATCACTCAACCACATTCACCTTCTTGCTGTTCCTAATATGGCAGACACACACTCTGACCACAGGATCTTGGCATTTAGAATTCCCTGGAATGCTGTTTTCTCAGATATCCTTGTGACCTACTCCCTCACTTCCCTTGTCTTTGCTTAGATGTCACCATGAAGCCCTCTGATGACTTAAAAATTTCAGCTTCACACTTGCCACCGTATTCACCTTTCCTGCTTTATTTTTCTCCACAACATTTACCTCCACGCCACATCATGGATAGGTGGATGATAGATCACTAGATATTATCTTGTTTTTCAATTGACTCTCTCCCCACACTAGACTATAAGCTCCAGGAGAACAGAGTTTTTAAACCTGTTTAGTTCACCTTATTGCCCAGAATAGTGCCTGGACATAGTAGGGACTCAAACAACATGTTGAATAAACGAATGAAGGCAAGGAATGGAGATGTCATTGGTTGATGGCAAACAGGATGGGGAAACCAGACTCCTTGAAATGGAACAAATGGAACATCCTGGAAGGGATTTTCAAGAGGCTCTTGGAAATTTGATTCTAGGGGAAGGCCATTCAGAACCAAGAGAAGTCAGTTCATACTGGAAGTGATAACAGAGTTCTTGCCTTTTAGAAACTGAAGCTAGGCATGGGAGATAGTTAACTAAAAAATAATTATGATACAATGAAATATGCATACAGTAGATGATTAACAGAAAACTATTGAACTTTGTCAAAACCAAGGCATCTCTATAAGCAGTTACAGTAGTTTGTGTGGTTTTGAGAGCAGTTCCCAAAGACGAATTCCTACGATTTCAGCAATGGCGCATTTTGAAAGAAGTGAGTTAACTGACACCGTTCTCCTAGATGTGTACGGTATTGTTTTGCTTATAGCAAAAGTGATAGTGCTATTTTGTTTAGTCTAGACTTGATTTAAACCTGCTATATCATAACTTTCTAGGCTGACAATCAGCTTAAGTTTAAGAATTTCATATACATTAAACATCAGCTGTCTTATGGGTGAGAAAGGAAAGCTTATAATCCTAAACTGGCATGTGACTCTATTCTGCTATTTACTCACACAGTTTTCAAATTGCAGATGCAACAGAGAAACCATTTTCCGTTCACTAGTAAAGAGTCAGAAGACGAGAGTGGATCTGGTTCTTCCACTCACCAACTACCCCGTGACCCTAAGCAAGTTACACCATCATCTCTCCAGATTCACTCCCTCAAAGGAAATTCACATTGAATTCCGTGATTTTCACGTGACCTTCCCACACCGATTTCTGTGATTTCGTAATTCATATTCACATTCCTATTAAATGTATCCATATGAGATGAAAGATAATAAAACTATCTTGAAACTTAGAGTTGATAGCGGGTCATATGCAGTGATCTTCCATAAAGTTTTCCCAAGTGAAGTGCGTTCATGTTCATGATTGAATTCTTAACAATGTGTTTCTTTACCTGTCGGGATTGTTGCAAGGGATCCAGTTCACTGCAGGGTCTGGGATGTCCTCCAAGTACGGATAGAGCGTGTCCCTGCTGAAGTTCCAGCCGTAAACACCATCTTCTGGAGTCACGATGATGTGCGCACCCTGTTAAAAATGGAACTTAACGTATTCTTCAACTAAGCAAACAATCAAAGTGGGAGGGGGGCGGCTGGGAGAGGATCTGAGGAACTGAGCAGCTGAGGAGCAACCAATCGGGCTTTCTTTTTCTTTCAATCTTATTCCTTTGTTTTCTATGTTTTCACAATTTATTTTCTTTGCCCAGCCACGTTCCTTTTCGAATCCCTCTGTTGTCATTTCTATTTGACTTCTTCATTCTTTCACAAACATGAATAGCTTTCCAGGCTACTCACAGGTTCGCCACGCACTAGAGTTGTTACCTTTAAACCCAGCTCTTCCCAAAATGACCCTCTTTGAACTTTGGCCGACTGTTGTGTCTGCATGCACCTGAAGGATCTGTAACTCGATCTCTGTTTCACTTCCACCCTTGCTCCAGCCTTCCCTGCTCCTTATGCTGCAAAAGTGATTTCTGCTTCTCAGAAGGAGGGACTTCAGACACCGGTTACCTGAAGGACGCCGGGCCTAGGGGTACAATGTGAGCTGCCCTGGGCACCTTCGGGAGGGTGAGTCACCCTGAAAGCTGCTGTGGCCTTGAAAAAAATAGCTGGACTAAGGGTGCAAAAAACCTCAGAATCCTTCATAACCTTTTAAATCTCCTTATGTATAAGAATGTATACTGATAGATATATGTGATATGTATGTATCTATGACTTTCATCATGCTTCATACATTCCTCATCTGTACTTGATCTATGAATATCTTATTGAAACTATATTCTTTCAAACCACACACTTAAACTTAACCCTTCATTCAACTCAAGGACTTACTGTGCATTAACATATATGCTTTTATCTTGTCATTAGAATGAAGTATATAATACATGCTGTTAAGTAATTTGCAACTTAAGTTTAATTGTTTTGATGTTGTGAACTAACCCAAAAACCTGCCAACTCTTTAGAGCACAACAGCACACTGAGGCCACTAGTACACAAACAGCACCTGGTCCCTGACCGTTTTATCCTCCACCCACCACATGTAGCAGAAAAGAGCAACAAAGTTGTTGAATTTGCAGCAAGTTCCTCAAAAGTCTGCTGCCTCTAATGATAACCAGCCTACTCTCTCCTTAACTTTGTCTCACTATTAGGGAAGTGCAATAGTGTCCTTGCTCCAATAATTTTGAGAAGGAGGTAGGACTCTGATTCAGTTCTTGCCTTCCCTGACACATATGTTGTCCCAAGGGGTGTTGACGCTGACAGTAATCCTGTCTCCTAAGACCCCACCCTTTGCGCACATAGAATCCAGCACACTCAGAGATGGTACCTGCTTGGCTGCTGAGGTGATTGCTCCCTCCAAAAGATCCAGATTGCGGTTCATTAATGGCAACGCCTCTTCCCGGGACACTGGCGTTAGGGTGGCATTGGGCAATATCACTGCGTGCTCGTAAACAGCTGCAATAAAGGTCTCCAGGGAGTGGGCTTGGAAGGTGCAGAAAACCAGAATTGCCACATAAGCGAGCAGCTGAGAAGAAATCATGATGAAGTCCAACGATTTGCTGAGAGATAGATCAAATCCTGATATTTATAGAGAGAAAACACAAGAGATCACGTGGTTCCCAGAACTTAGGACTTTAAAGTGACAAAGTCTAACTTTAAGAAAACTTTCTGGTTTTACATTACGGACATAGATATAGACACTCCTTATATAACAAATGACCCTCCCTCATGGAAGGGATTTGTGAGGATCAAATAAGCAAATGCTTATGTACTAGTTTGCTAGGGTTGTCATAACAAAGTGCCAAGAATTGTATAGTTTAAGCAACAGAAATGTGTTGTCTCACGGTTGTGGAGGTAAAAAGGTTCAGACGAAGGTGTCAGCAGAGTTGGCTCCTCCCGAGGGCTGTGAGGAAAGAGTCTGTTTGGGGCTTTCCCTGCAAATGGCTCTGTGCTCCCTGTGTGTCTTCACACGGCGTTGTCCCTGTGCGCATGTCTGAGTGCAAACTTCCCCTCATTATAAGGACATTAGTCATTGGATTTAGTGCTCACCCTACTCCAGAATGACCTCATCTTCACTAATTACCTCTGAAACAATCCTCTCTCCAAATAAGGTCACATTCTGAGGTACAGGTGGTTAGGATTTAAACATACAAACTGTCGGAATTCACCTGTTTTAAGCACACCGCGGTGTATGTAAACACTGTGAAGAGTAAACAACTTTACAGTTTAAAATTATTCTTATTATCATCATGCGGATATCTGGGCTCCATGCTTTATTCACTTCAGTTTCCTCAAAATGGAGAAGCCAGGACGAAGAGAAATATAAAATAGTCATTCATTATCTATTCCTATACAAATCACCCCTAAAACTTAGTAGCTTGGAACAGCAAGCATGTATTATCTCGCATTTTCTGTGGTCAGGACTCCAGGGGCAGCCGAGCTGGGAACCTGAAGCCCAGGGTCTCTTCCACAGGCTGCAATGAAGCTGCTCGCCAGCACTGCAGTTATCTCAGAGCTTGGCTTGGGAAGGATTCACTCCCGAGCTGCAGGCTCACTCGCATGGCTGATGGCGGGCCTCAGGTCCTCATTGGCTGTTGCCCGGAGATACGAGTTCCTTGCCATGGAGGCCTCAGCCTCACTAAAAGGCAGCTCACGTTATGGTATCTGGCTTCCCTCAGAGCCAGAGAGCAAGAGAATCCACTCAAGACAGAAGCCGCCGTGCTTTAGTAATCTAATATGGAAAATGACACCTCATCACTTTTGTCATAATCTATTCATCAAAAACAAGTCAGTAGGTCCAGTCCACACTCGACAGGAGGGGATTACACAAGAGTGTGAATGAGGCAGGGCTCACTGGGGACCTTTTTAGAGGCTGCATCCCACAGGGGTAATAGAGAGAGGAGCATAAAGAACAAGCGTGAGAACTAAAGAAGGGAGAGAGGAAAATAATAGAAAACAGAAAAGGAGCTTATAGATTTTGGTATGCAACAAGTGTATAAGTTTTGCTTCGGTTGTGAATTAAGTATAATATTATTTTATGTTTATAGAACTAGTATTTATGATTATCCATTCTATTTTTAGGATATTTCATTTTGGATGATGGTTTTATGGTTGAATTTGCAAATGGGTGTGTCTGATGTTTTATTTTTTTACTTCAGAACTATAAAAATTTATTCTGGGGCTGCCAAAGTAACCAAGAAGTTGTGGTTGCCCCATCCTCCTGAGCCTACAGCCAACGCCAGCTCCCTCTGTCTGCTGACCTCCTTTCGTCTTTCCATTCCCGAGTAAGTAGGGACACCTCATACTTCAAAGGATGTAATTGTTACACAACAATTTATAAAAGGAGGTTCTGAAATAAAAGTTAAAACTGAAAGGAGTTACCCAAAGGTTAAAAAACTTACTTCTTTGATCTTATCAGATTAAAAACACTAAATAAGATCCTCCAATTTGGTTTCCCATCTGATATATAAAGAGCTTGAAAGTCATCTCTCTCAACTTCATAACAAGAAAAAAAGATGAATAAGTGAAAATCAACAACTTTTCTTGGCTATATCAGAGAATTGAAGTCCTAGGACAAACCACTGTGGCAGATGGTTAGCAAATGGCTCCGCTGTTGGAGCTTCTACTGGTTTGATCGCTGAAACTGTCATTGATGAGTTGCTGGAGGCCCACTATGGCCAAGCTTGAAAGTTAAAAACTAGGAGGGTCCCAGTGTTAGGGAGGCTGTCACACTTTTGTGAGTTTTACCTCCAGGAACCCCACAGTTTCTCTCGGCAAATAATGGAGGAAAAAACCCTCTGCCTCAAGCTTCCTACAGGAGGAAGGGGGATTACCTCCACTTTGAAATAAGCCCAGAGCATTTTCTTCTCCTTGACAAAAGTCTGCCCTCAAAAGAAACTATTTACCAGAGCCTAACCAACCTAGGGGAAGGGTAACCCCAACTCTCGCCCTCCTGGCCTTCCTGTCTCAACTAAGAGGGAAAGAAAACCTGAGAAGCACTCATGAAAGTCACATCCCAGGGGCACAGGCTCACTACAACACAGAAATGTCATCATTGGACTCTATAAACCTTCCCCTCCCCTGACATGTTACCACCATGGCAATCTGGAGTTTGCTGCCTACCTAGCATGCATTAGCCAAGAGAAAGTCTTCAGAAGGACAATTGCAGTTCTTGCAGTAGAAAGCTATCAAACTAGAAGCGGTGGGGCACCAACAGCCTCTGCTGCCGTGGCTGAGCTGGGTCTCCTCATGGCTAATGCCACTACATCACCTTCGATAAGCAATGTGCAGCCGGCCAAGCTCCTCTAATGCAGCCTTTCTGCTCAAACAGAGTAGACAGACTGGGGGAATAGTTTCCAACAAAACTTGTGTGTGGAGAGAAGACACTCATCCCGTTTTCTGCCTTTTTATCAATCTACTAATCTCAAGAGGTAATCCATTTACAAAAACTTCTGAGGGTCCTCCCTGGTTTTAGGAAATTTTTTAACTATGGCCCTTAGTCCAGCCTTTGATCAAGGAGTGAAAGATACCTGAAGGGGATCACCTGTAGCCTTGGACGGTCTTATTTTAAAAGGTAACTGCTTAATGGTCTCTTTAGAGTGGAAAGGCAATTCAGATAGAGGATTACTGGAATGAGTACTCAAATAAAGGAGACGGGAACAGCAGGAGTTATGTTGTCTTATAGTCTTTTGTTTTAGGTACCTCTCCTATCTTTAACTTTTTATTAGCCTTGTGTAATGAATCTTTCCTTGAAGCGATTTTGGAATCTTGAAGACTTTTAGAGGCTTCTGCATGCCAGTTAAAATAGGTATCGCAATCTGTTTGTTTATTTGGGAACCCTTCATTTCAAGTGCACTTGTTAGATGATCTTGTCTAATTGGACCGTTCTGACTGAACTCATGACCACAGCTGAGCTCTTTGAAAGGACTTTGGAACAAGACTGTGAACAAGGTCTGTCAAGATAGTGGCCTTACAGACTCTCTCATATCTAACCCTGAAGAAGGGCCCTGGTATGGGCCCCTCCCGAAGTTGACAGGACTCTGAGAGATTTCCTGGTTAACTGCAATGTTATTCCCTTAAACAGCCAAGGAAACCAAAATTAAAATCAATAGAAAACCTTGCCAAATTTTGGTAAATATTAGAGCTATACCCTCTGCTTTAAACCCTGCTCAGAACCTGCAGAGGAGATCCTGAGAAAAGTGGTAGCAGCCAGCGAAGTGTGAGAATTCTCACCAGAGTCAGGTCTCCCCGATCTGTCTGTAGTACCCAGCAGGAAGAGACAAATAAAATGTCTTTTGCACCCTCTTTGGAGTCACCTCTCAAATCTAAGTTTTGTTTAATACTGCCAGACACACTTAGTATTTGTTCTGGCTGAAGATGTGTGATATTTTCTACCTCCAGATAGTATTGCTAAAATGAATTTGTAAAAGGGCTCTATTAAATTTGCTTAAAGAAAATTAAGTCCTTATATGAATTAAATATTCATAAAATTTTCAAAAATATAATAGAAACTAACCCAAATGCTTTTCATGTTCAACACGATCTGGGAAAATATTTGGTATTAAAACTAATTTGAGTTTGTTAGTTTATAAAATAGACATGTCTTTAGAGTTATCAATATTGAATATAATGCAGACATGCAACTTTTATTCTATCTGGGTTTGTTGATAAAATAAGTTCATGTTATTTCTGTTGCAAAATTTGTCCTCAAGAAAAATAACTTGATATGATGAAATTTTCATAAGTAATCTAAATATAATCGGTGAGAACAAGTGAATTAGACAAATGTAAATGACACAAAAGTTTTTGGGCAAACTTCTTAAATAGTTTCCCCAAATCCTTTTGGTAACTTGAAATCTTAGGGTTTTGCTAACTTAAATTAAATTTTGGGTAGTCGTTAAGTATCTAGATCATTTCCAAATAAGATAACATACTGAAGCATTAATTACTGAACACAGGTTTATCCACTTTTGGCTTCCTTTTATAGAGGAACTAAAGATATTTGGGTCTATTAACAGAAATGTTTTGTGCCACAATGAAAAATATTACTATGAGAAAGCATATGTTTCTAGAAATTATAAAAAGAATTTATAAATTTGCCAAACCACAGAATGCTAACGTGAAAGACGGTTCACAATTGTTTACGTCTTTATTTTCACTAGAAAGTAAAGTTTTTAAGGATTAAGAATTCTAACCACATGTAATTAAATCTACTAAAAGTAATAAGGGAAACATTTCTGAATGCAAGGAAAGATGTGTGCTTTAGGTAAAAGAATATGTGAGGAGCTGAGACGCATTTTCGTTGAGGAAAAAGAAAGTAATTTTGTCCTAAAGTGAGACTGATTATTTCAGAGTGGGAAAGATGAAAAGCATAGGGCAAAATTTTAGAAGTTTTTGTGGACAAGCAATCTTGGGAAAATAATTTTATGTGTGGTCAAGCTGGCTGAGAATAGAATTAAGTTATTTAAGCAAAAAAAAAAAAAGAGTTTTAACATCAAAAGTACACTAGTGCAAAATTAGAATTGGTTTTCTCTCAGCTAAAAGGACAAAATTTTCTTGGACTTTTCAACTGCCTTTGATAACAGATTGTGAAAGTTTCTTTACCTTTTAAGTGATTTGCCTAGAAAGAAAAGATCCTATGTTTTATTAAATTTATCAAAATAAAATTCTAAATTAAGTCTTTTTGAGCTCAAAATAACTTTGGGATTTTCCAGAGGGCCCACGGAACATCTCAAAAGACTTGTTCTCTGTCTTTCTAAACAGAGAGATGTTAAATTAATTGGGCTTATTTGATATGTTAAATTACGTGGGAAGCACTGTCAAATAAGAAGTAATACCAAGCCTTTTTTATGCTGTATTTATATAGGTATATGTTGTAAGTCTTGAAGAAATTGTATTAAATTACTGGAAATCTGATATGTCCTGGTATAATGTTACCAGTCATAATTCCAGTTATTATCTTAAAACGTTGTATATCACAGAAATAACCAGATTTTCTTGTCAATTTCATTATAATGAACTCTCATCAGATCTTAACTACGGTCATTTTTAAGTCTGGTCATTTACAGTTATGTTTTTTACTCAGATGCTCTTGGAAAAGTGTTCTTGCAAAATTACTTCATATTCAAGGAGAATCATGCAAAGGACTTGACAAGTACAGGTTTCTAATAACTTGATATCATAAAACTGAACTGGGTAAGAATTTCCAGAACTAATGAAAAAACTGGATTCAAGCCCAATGGTATTAATTACATGGGACTGAATGAACTGAGGAGGATGATTATAATTTTTCATGACTTTTTGTTTGAGACATTATTGGTTCCTTAATGTTTTGTTTTTCCAGATTTAGGGAAATCTTTTCTCTTAAGCGACCTATAACTTGCACAAATTTGATAAAGTATACCTTTGTAAACAAAGATGAATCATTTACTTTTTCTCCCTATCTCATCTCTCCAGAGTTCAAAAACTCTTTTGAGTATTCTTTTCACAGCAATACAGTTAGTTATTTCAATAAATCCAATAAGAATCCATTCTCCTCATAACAGGACATAATTGGAAACATTCGTTATATTACCAAGACTTTGACTGGAATATTGTATTTGAGAGAGATGTGCATAGACTCAGATATGCCCAGACAGCTTTTAAAAACTAAGGTTGACATTATTGAGCCAATAAAGCCCCTTAAAATAATTGGCCTGGTACCTTGCTTACAAGTTTCCAGCAAAGCAATCTTCAAAAGAGCGTATGTCAATCACTATTCTTGCTGCACTTATGTAAATAATCAGACCAAGTTTAATGCAAACAAATTAGTTTTGCTGTGATTATCTTTGGGAAAAAATGGGGTGATTATAAAGAGAAAAATTGTGTTTGCACCTTTCTAGATATTAGCTTCTAGTCCTCTCAATTGTCTTTGAAGTTTTGCTATATACTGGTAAACTGGACTGGATCTTGAATTCTTTTGGTTTCCTCAAATATCTGGCTACAACTCTCCAAACCAATGTTTCCGATTTTCTCCCACCCTTCTGATCAGAATCACTAAGAACAAAGACTACCCTTGAACCTCCTTGGAAGGGTCTATGCGGATTCTCCTCACTACCCAGATGGCAGCCAAACTTTAGGGATTTGAACCCTGTGTCCATATCCCCCAATTAAGGACATTTCCACCTGACACCTGGTCCTGTGCAAACGTTGGAGATCTCTGAACCACATTGACAAGGAAGAGAAGTAACTGACATCAGTGTGGACTTCTTCTGCCCAAGATGCCAGATCAAGACTTCACACTTTAACCACATGAGAACCCCTCTTCTCCTCTTTCTTTCCTTTACTCTGGCTTTGGCCTGGAAAGATAATGCCATCATCTGTATCTCCCAGGCCATTGCTAAGGGTGGTAACCATTCAGACTGCTGGATTTGTCATCAAAAACTTTAATCTGTCTATTAACAGTGCCACTTTAGTGAGAATGGTTTGTGCCCAGACGAGATGTATCTTTGTCTGTGTGGTGGTGATCACTCTCCTTGAGCCTATGAATGCCTGGATGGTGAGCAAAGCCTCCCAGGTTACCTAACTGTGCCCCTAGCTGTTCACAGACAGGCTGAGACACCTCTCTGGTCATCTCTCCTGAATTTACGTCATTGAATTAGAAAGGGCAAACCAGGAGGTTTTCAGTGTTCAGGATTCACTTCCCTTGGCAGGTCCCTACTTTCTTAGCTGGAGTGAGTACAGATGAGGCCATGACCGGGAATCTCTCCTTAACTCTTGAAGATATCACAGAATCTGCTGCTAAAGCAATAGCTGCCCAACAAAAACTCTTAGACTCCCTGGCCAAAGTTATTCTTGATAATAGGATAGTCTTCAATTATCTCTTAGCTGAGCAAGGAGGTGTCTGTGCTGTGGCCAATGCCACTTGCTGCACTTGGATTAGCACTTCTGCGGAAGTTGAAACTCAGCTACATAAGGCTACTGAACAAGCCACTTGGCTTAAGAAAGTGACTCCTTCAATGGAGTCTTTCTTTGACTTATATGATTTTAATTGGTTTGGGTCTTAGGGACCATGATCTGAAGTGCATTCCAAACATTGGAAATTATCCTACTTGTAATAATCAAAGTAGTCTCCTTGGTGCACCGTATTCTCTCAACAGCTTTAAATGCATGTTCGCAGCCACTAACCACCAAGCAAATGGTCCTCGTTCCTAAGACTGGAACATCAGAAAAGGAACAAAGAGAATGACCAACTTAAAAAATGTAAGTCTGACGTCATAACCTGTGACTAGCACTCAGTAAAAGCTGGGAGAGCAACAGAGAGGTAGCTGAGAGTGGTGCCAAGGCCTTAAATTTTGATCACGTCTCTCAGTTAGGCTGAGAGTCTGATCAAAAGGGGAAATCATTAAAAAAAAAAAAAGAAGAAAGAAAGAAATAGAAACAACAGGCCCACATTGAAGTCACTTGTGCTCAGCTCCACATCAGCAAACCAAGACTTGAAACTTCACCTAATTGCAGTTTCAGCCCCTCCCAGGAGTGTAAACTTTAATCAGCTGATCTGGAATTAACGGTTAGCACTAGTGAGGTAATCCACTGACAGACCCCTGCCTTCCTTTAAAGGAAGGTGCCACTGTTGAAATGATCCGTTCTTGGCTAGAATAACTTCCTTGCCTGGTTTCTCTCTGTCTATAAAAGTCTTCCATTTTGTACAGCTCCTCAGAGCCCCTTTCTATCTATCTTCTAAATGGAATGCCTTTACGAGTCAATGAATAAAGCCAATAAAATCTCTAAAATTTACTCAGTTGAAGTTTGTTTTTTTAACAATATGATAAAAGATTAGAGATATGCCTCAGTATTGCTACTAAATATATATACCTAAATATTAATATTTAATGGCTAGAATACCGTCAATTTTCTGATTGACATTAATCTGATTGATAAAGTTGTTTACATTGTAAGAATATATATTTATGCCATAGGACTTAATAAAACTTTTATTTTTCTTTAATAAGTCCCTAATCATTATTATGCAGCCTGAACTGGCTCCCATGAAAAAAATAATTTTTCTCACCAGTGAATTATACTCCGCTGCCTCAGAAATACTCACTGAAGCCAGGAGAGTGGCTTCGCTCTCCAAAGAAAGAATTTAGATGAGGAAGACACAGCTGTGAGGGCTGATTCTAGCAGAGGTCCTCATTTATAAGTCATGATAAATAAAACGAGAGGTGGGAGGAGAGAAAAAAATAGGTCAAAGAAATAAAAAAGTGTGAGGTATTAAAAGATAAGGAGCAAATGACTTTTAAAGGGAAAGCTTGGTTGAGTCATGACGGGCAAGAGCTGAGAACTCCCAGGGGATTCGGCAGTTCTGCAGTCCCCTGTACGAGAGAGGGAACAGAGGTGGGCTTATGTAAGATGCATGGGTGAGGGGTGGTGAGGAAGCTGGGGCCCCTAGGTACTAATGCAGCCTCGAGACAACAGTCTAGGAGAGAGGAAAGAAGCCTAGAAAGAACCAACATGAGGCCATCAGGTGCGAAGACAGCCATGTGCACACAGAAGAGTCGAGAGCACAGGTACAATCCTCGGATCCCTATGACATAGGCCCTGGAGAGAGAATCCAGGAATGATGGCAGCAGAGAGAGCAGGGGCATTTTCTTCTGCCCAGAACGTCTCTGGCTTCCTGGAACTGGATTGAATTAAATGGAGTGGAAATAAACACCTGGGAAAAGTCTAGGAAAGCAATTGTCGTACTTTTTGTGGGGAAAAAGGTGTCCCCAAACTCAGAGTGATCCTTAACCACTCCCACATGTCCTGCATTCATGTGTGTCTCTTCCCAGAGTTAATCACTGACCTAGCCAGGGTGCTAGTGCATGGGTAACTGGGAGAAAAGTGGCAGGTGGCCCTATCTAAGGAAGCTCTTAGTCCAGCACAGGCTGCAACAAACCCCTGAGTATCGAGGGGGCTTCCCCAGGATTGGGCAGATTCCAGGATAGAATAATTTCAGAAGGAACAGCGTGTGGTCTGAAGGAGATCATTTATTTCTTTTTTATTTCCATTCAAAGTATCTAATTTCCATATGAATAGACCATAAGGGTAGAATAAAGAGATAAAGGAACAATTTTTAATTATTTTAAAGCTATTCATAATTCCTTTGAGCCAGCCCAGTAGTGCAGTGAGGTTCTCATCTTCTGCTTCGGTGGCCTCAGGTTTGCAGGTTTGGATCCTGGGCATGGACCTAGCAGTGCTCATGAAGCCACGCTGTGGCAGCATCCCACATGAAATAGAGGAAGATTGGCACAAATACTGGCTCAGTGACAATCTTCCTCAAGCACAAAGAGGAATATTGGCAACAGATGTTAGCTCAGTGGCAATCTTCCTCACACAAAAAAAATAGATGCCCTTTGTTTTTTCGCTTCCTGTATCTTAAGTGATTAGATCAAATACCCTCTGTAAGTTCAACACCTGCCCTGTGTGTTTACAAATGATAGAAGCAACATTTACATACATTAGAGCAGTTACCACAAAAGGATTTTTCCAGGCCCCCTCCCATTGAAATATATGGTGCACTATCCCTATACATACTCACACGTACTTAAATGCACCCACATGGAAGGTAAATGCAGCTCCCATAAATGTTTGTGCTGTATCAAACAGGTAAAATGTAAAATTGGTACACACATCTATCATTTTTAAAATCTTCTTAAGTTTGTTGTTTCAGCAAATCTATGACATCTCTTCTAAACAGAAACTAAGGGCTCTCTTTCTTTTCTCCCTCTCTTTGCTGGGCTAATCTTGAAAAGGTGCGAGTGAAGGGGGTCGTTGTAATTTCTCAGGTCCCTGCCCTAAGCGCGGAGGGTCCTTCTCAAACACTCTTCCATACAGGGCCATCACTAAGACAGGCAAAGGGGCTCCGCCTCGGCTCCTCAGACGTCCGTCTTGTGAAACCTGACCAAAGAAAGCAAAAAATTAACTCCAATGCAGAGCCTGGTCTCCAGCCCAGAGGCATCCCCAGACAACAGCATTCTAAAGCAGCATGAAACAGTCAGAAGACCCGCATTTCAGATCCAAAGGACTAAAGCAGAAGGACTTTGGGTGAAAGTGCAGGAAACAAATCTGTTGCACAAGGAGTTAAGTAAGATAACATAAACAAGAGCTCCTTTAACTGAGACACTGTACAAAGTATTAATTATTACTATCATATTACAACTTCTCAAAATAATGCATGAATGAACTAGGTTGTAGATGCGTTATTTAATGTCTTTAACCTGACCCTTCTACACCATGCAGAGACAGAGAACATTACTTGCAGGCCATCATCCACCATCAGTATTTTACTTTAATTTCTCCGCAACCTCATTGTTGCCTTGGATCTCAAAAGTACATTTATGCAGAAAAAGGAACCTCAGATTCTCCATCACAGCCTAAAGATAGTCTAGAACCACATCATAGCTTGTCTTCCACATCATAGCTTCCACGTGTCTTTAAAGTGTTGCTTGTATAATGCAAACCACAATATTGCAATGCTGTCGCATCGTTTCAAAGATTTCCATTATGCAGTCTACCCCTTCTGTTCGAGGAAATTTAACATCCTGGAAACCTCCTACCTCGTAATGTCTCTCCGGGGCAAGCTGACTCCCACTTAGAATGAGCTGTGGGAAAACGTAACTTGTTACGAAAGTGCCGCTGAGGGAAAATTCTTCAAACCTGGTAAACGCTGACCCCGCAGGCTCCCCGCAAGTTCTCAGCTCGGTGGTTTGACACTTGAGTAATGTGCATATCTAGGGAGGAAAAGAAAAGAGAAGTGGTCAGACATCTTGGAAATATTTTTTCAACTGAAAAACTCAATTTCAAGGAATAGAGGAATATTTGTTAGGTTGCTTCTTTAGCAGAGTTTTTCAAACTGCAGGTTGTAACCTATTTGTGGATCCTAAAATAAATTCAGGAGTCAGGATTAGCTCTTTCTTTTTTTCCCAAGAAAGCAAAAATGGAATAGACTAGAATTTTAAAAACTAGAGTTCATTGCATATAACTGACAGCTATTTCTAACTCTAATTGGAATTATTTCATAAAATGTTCCAATTAAATCTCTCTCTCTGCCTCTCTCTCTCTCTTTTTTTTTTTTTTTTTTGGTGAGGTAGATTGGCCCTGAGCTAACATCCATTGCCAATCCTCCTTTTTTGGCTTGAGGAAGATTGTCTCTAAGCTAACATCTCTGGCAGTCTTCCTTTATTTTTTTGTATGTGGGATGTTGCCACAACATGGCTTGATGAGCAGTATGTAGGTCCTCGCCCAGGATCCAAACCCAACAACCTTGGACCCCAAAGCCAATCACGTAAGCTTAACCACTACATGACTGAGCCAGCCCCTAAATATCTCTTTTAACTCATTCACACATCTTGACTGCACTGGGTCAGGATGCGAAATGGACTTCTTGCTCTGGGCCCTAGTTGCAGACTGTTTGAAAATCCCTGCTCCCAAGTAACCTGACAAGAAAAGAAAATGCATGGAAGTTGCAGCTTTTTAAACTTGAACCGGGTCTGCTGCAAACTAAGCAATCTGCCTTGTGTTTCTACCTTGCAGCCAAGAAATCTAGTTCTGTTCTTGCTAAGACTGAACAAATAAAGTGTTCTGGGGGAGAAAGTTCAGTGATAAATGTAACATTATTCCAATTAACTGAATCCAGCCCAATTTTTAAAGAAATGCAATGATGACCTAGAAGAAAAACCAGTAAAAAAGCCATTCTAACGTATTTAGGCCGTTCTACCTGCAAGTAGTACTGGCCTTCCACTGTGTGCAGGCCGTCAAAAGCCCCAAGCGCATACACCTCATCTGTTCGCTTCTCAGACATCTGGTAAGTTAAGTGACAACACAGGTCTTTCTGACAAACTGTGTAATTTCCTGTGTTCTTCTGAAGCTCAGTGAAGGTGAACTCATCAAAATAGATCATCCCTGGAAAATCCGGTTGCTCAGACGGGAACGGCTTGACGCCTCTGGCATAAGCACTCCAGTCAACGGCTGCAGGGTAGGTGGTTTCACGCCGAGGCCGGGACTTCAACTCTGAGAGCATCAGCTGGCCACTCTCCGTTTCCATGTCATAGTAGTACACCTTGACTGCTTCCGGTGCGTAGATTCCACTCCCTACGGGCGACATAAAGAAACACAAATATTGGTTTCAAATTTTGCCTGGAGACAAGTGAACAAAATCATTTTTGTGAGAAATTAAATAGAAAGTTATGAAAGCATAAACATTTTCAAGATAGATAGGGAGATAGCTGTTCCACGGACATGAGTTCCAACTTGACTCTGCATCCTCCGTAAGGGACTGCTTTCACTGAAATTATCATCTGACTTGGATGGCTTATTTTTTTTACTTAAGCTACCCTTTTTTTAGCCAACTTAATAACAAACTAGAAAGTTCTCCAAACATGAAGAATAATTTTAGCTGTCCACTGACCTATCCGGTTTCCTTGTTTTGAGATTCTTCATGTGGATCAAGGAATAACGAAGCAGTCAAGAGGGGAGCTGCCCCACCCTGAACACAGAGACGCTAAAGGTTAAACTCTAAAACCTGGTTAAGTCTAAAGTGATGTTTTCCTTCAACAGCAAGATGTATTTCAATAGTATTAATGGGTGTTGGCTGCAAAGTTCTCTAGATCTGGCTTTGTTTTTTTATGGGACTTGACTTCCTTCTAACTGCAATTTCCCCTCCTGTGGAATTGAGATAATAATGTTTGCCTCCTTCCTTACTCAAAGGGATAACGTTCCTTAAATAACGTTGGTGTAGAAACCCATGCTATTAT